AGGTAATGCAGATCACTGACTGGAGGTAATGCAGATCACTGACTGTAGGTAATGCAGATCACTGACTGGAGGTAATGCAGATCACTGACTGGAGGTAATGCAGACCACTGACTGGAGGTAATGCAGATCACTGACTGTTGGCTGTAGGTAATGCAGATCATGTTTATTGGAGTTCTATAAATGAAACCTATTAAGTTTAGTCTTTCCGTTTATAGTAATACAACAAACAGTGTGGAAAATAAATAATCACTTGTCACATGTGTTTCCTGTCTAGGATTTCATATCCGCCAGCTTGTGCAGAGAAAGGTGCCTTGTCTGATGACAATGGCAGTTGTGTGTGGGCAGGGGAATTCCAGCACTTGATTCTCCTGCTAGATAAGAACATTCGGCCCATAAACAAGTTGAGCATTCACAGATAAACAAGCCACAAAGTGTTCCTTGGCTCTGTGCAATAGACTGATAGCTCCTGGCATTATGCCGTCACTTGGGTTCTACATTAGTCTGTATTGCTAGCATAGGATCCATGCAGGTCTCCAGCTATTGTACAGCTAATTGTGACAGCGTGATGTGATCTAATGTGACTAATCCGCTGTAGGAGACCTGAGGAGCCATTAGGAGAGTCAGTAGGAAGGTGCCCCATGATATTGGTGATCAGTAGGAGAGGTGCCCCATGATATTGGTGATCAGTAGGAGAGGTGCCCCATGATATTGGTGCTCAGTAGGAGAGGTGCCCCATGATATTGGTGATCAGTAGGAGAGGTGCCCCCATGATATTGGTGCTCAGTAGGAGAGGTGCCCCATGATATTGGTGATCAGTAGGAGAGGTGCCCCATGATATTGGTGATCAGTAGGAGAGGTGCCCCATGATATTGGTGCTCAGTAGGAGAGGTGCCCCATTATATTGATGCTCAGTAGGAGAGGTGTCCCATTACATTGGTGATCAGCAGGATTGGTGCCCCCTTACATTGGTGATCAGTAGGAGAGGTGCCCCATTACATTGGTGATCAGTAGGAGAGGTGCCCCATTACATTGGTGATCAGTAGGATAGGTGCCCCCTTACATTGGTGATCAGTAGGAGAGGTACCCCCTTACATTGGTGATCAGTAGGAGTGGTTCCCCCTTACATTGGTGATCAGTAGGAGAGGTGCCCCCTTACATTGGTGATCAGTAGGAGAGGTGCCCCCTTACATTGGTGATCAGTAGGAGAGGTGCCCCCTTACATTGGTGATCAGTAGGAGAGGTGCCCCCTTACATTGGTGATCAGTAGGAGAGGTGCCCCCTTACATTGGTGATCAGTAGGAGAGGTGCCCCCTTACATTGGTGATCAGTAGGAGAGGTGCCCCCTTACATTGGTGATCAGTAGGAGAGGTGCCCCCTTACATTGGTGATCAGTAGGAGAGGTGCCCCCTTACATTGGTGATCAGTAGGAGAGGTGCCCCCTTACATTGGTGATCAGTAGGAGAGGTGCCCCCTTACATTGGTGATCAGTAGGAGAGGTGCCCCCTTACATTGGTGATCAGTAGGAGAGGTGCCCCCTTACATTGGTGATCAGTAGGAGAGGTGCCCCCTTACATTGGTGATCAGTAGGAGAGGTGCCCCCTTACATTGGTGATCAGTAGGAGAGGTGCCCCCTTACATTGGTGATCAGTAGGAGAGGTGCCCCCTTACATTGGTGATCAGTAGGAGAGGTGCCCCATTACATTGATGCTCAGTAGGAGAGGTGCCCCATTACATTGGTGATCAGTAGGAGAGGTGCCCAATTACATTGGTGATCAGTAGGAGTGGTTCCCCCTTACATTGGTGATCAGTAGGAGAGGTGCCCCCTTACATTGGTGATCAGTAGGAGAGGTGCCCCCTTACATTGGTGATCAGTAGGAGTGGTGCCCCCTTACATTGGTGATCAGTAGGAGAGGTACCCCCTTACATTGGTGATCAGTCGGAGAGGTTCCCCCTTACATTGGTGATCAGTAGGAGAGGTGCCCCCTTACATTGGTGATCAGTAGGAGTGGTTCCCCCTTACATTGGTGATCAGTAGGAGAGGTACCCCCTTACATTGGTGATCAGTAGGAGTGTTGCCCCCTTACATTGGTGATGAGCAGGATTGGTGCCCCCTTACATTGGTGATCAGTAGGAGAGGTGCCCCCTTACATTGGTGATCAGTAGGAGAGGTATGTTGGAAGCTAAAATAATTGACATCTATGATACATCTTTGATGGAAAGGTTCCTTAATATCGTGAGCTGCCCGTTGCTGTTTGATATGCAAATGAAGACCATCAAAGGGTTCTTGGGGCTGGACACTGATCAAAGGAGATCTGCTGGACTGTCATGTCCTGGGGCAAGCCCGACCCCCTGCTGGTATTTACTGCCCTCACCTGTGTCAGCAAGGCATATATGCTGGGATGGGGGCAGGGGCATATGATGGAACCTTCTTCCTGTGTGACACTAACCTAGCTGACAAGCAAGACCTCCTACTGATCACCAATATAAGGGGGCACCTCTCCTACTGATCACCAATGTAAGGGAGTGCATACCTACAGTATGCACTATACCGTACATGAAAGGGTCTGCATCCTGTCTGCCATCAGTGCCCACCAATCAGCCTCACACTGCTTCCTTTGCCTGTCTACATTATGCAAGCGATGCCCCTTTTGGCCGTGACGGCCTCTCCTCCCTCTGACGCGGCTGTGACGTTTTTGTTTTGGGAATTTGCTATTATCCTGGAATAAGCCAGGGTTGTCAATGCTCAGCACTCGGATTCCCACGACAGATGAGATCGGAGACGCCAGAACTCCTCATACTCTTCCTTGTTCTTCCAGCTCTGGGAGTCCATGAAGAACACAGATCAGGTCATTGCTCCACAGTGATGATAACAGTTATTGTACTCAAAGAGTAGTGGGTGCCTGGAAAGGATTTCACAGAATGCCACGGGGGTTGGGGGGGAAGAAAGATCAGGAAAGGAATTTAAAGCTCAAATATACTTTTTGGTTAAAAAAAAAACTGCCCATGATCTTTAAAAAGAAAAGTTCTGGCTGCACCTCCTGGCCGGCATTGGCCCCCACAAATTCACCCAGACTGGGATCCAGTCCTGGTTTTCTTCCAGGCTAAATGACGCCCAGGGTCATTCATCCCATTTTCTGTGAGTGCAGGGTGTCATGGACACACCCCCTAGGGCGGGGCTGGGAAGTTTCCCCAGCATGGCCTGCACTCATAGTATAATTATGCAGAGTGTAGCGCTGATGTCATCACATCAACAACGCCCTCTGCATCATTGAAGGCCAGAAGGAAGGGGACCCTGCGTGCCATGTGACATAACAGTTTTGAAAAAGAGTATTTAAAAAATCAGTATTAAACAAAGTGTATTAAAACACTCTCCAGGATGGTTTGAGAGAGGGAGGGTGTCATGGACTGATCTGCACACAGTTTTGTCCCATTGTTGTACTGATCGGTACACAGGTCACGTGAGCGGTCAGCAGCACCGTCGGAGGTTATTTGTACCTCGCCGCATCCTGTAATGTTTCCCGCGGTCGCTATGGGAACGCTGGGAGCGGAGAAGCGGCGGAGTGTGTGGGTAGACCGCCATCAGCCGGGAGCCGGGACTGTGCCGGGAGAGGTAGGACGGCTGTGTGCGGGGTGGGAGGAGGCCGCCATTGTCACTGTACTGGCCGCTGGTCAGTCCACAATACCTCATTGTCCATCACTATGAGTGACAGGGGGCGTCGTGTG